GAAATAGATACATTGGTCAAAGGAAATGCTAAATTGAAGAAATTCCTGACACAAGACATACAGGAAATGTGGGACATCATGAAAACCCCACCCCTAAGCAGTAACCTAGCAACAGCAGACATCATCATCAGCCACACATCTCCACGGTTGCCAAGGGTCACATAATCTCCCTATGTGAGTGCGCTACACCCCCTTATAAAAAGCCAGTGTCTTCTCTTCCTGCTCTTTTTCCCCTTCCACCCTTGTCCAGAGGCAGCCTCTGAATATCCACCCTCCCCCAATAAACCTCTCAAGTGAGCTCAGCTGGATGGTGTGGCTTTGTAGCATTCCTTGGCTCCAATCTGCCAAGGTACCTTCTGCTGCTTAAATCATAACAATGAAACTATAGGAGATAAATACTATAAACTAGAAAAAGTAAAAGAAGGGAAACACACACCACCAACACCAACACCACCAACACAACAATAAAATAACAGGAATTAACAGACATTAATCATTAATATCTCTCAATATCAGTGGACTCAATTCCTCAATTAAAAAACACAGGCTAACAAAATGGATTCCAAACACAGGATTTATCCTTCTGCTGCATACAAAAAACACACCTCCATATCAAGGACAGACATTACCTCAGAATAAAAGATTAGAAAAATTTTTCCAAGCAAATGGACCCAAGAGGCAAGCTGGTGTAGTTATACTGATACCTAACAAAATGAACCTCCAATCAAAATTACTCAAAATGGGGAAGGGCACTTCATACTCCTCAAAGGAAAAATCCACCAAGAAAATATCTCAATTCTTAACATCGATGTCCAAGTTCAAGGGCAGCCACATTTGTAAAAGAAACATTACAAGTCTTAAACCACACATCACACCTCATGCATTAATAGTGGAAGATGTCAACACCCCAGGGAAGACTTTAACACCCCAGTCTCAACAATGGGCAGACCATCCAGAAAAAAAACTAAACAGAGAAATCCTGGTGTTAACAGATGCTATGAACCAAATAGCTAACAGATATCTACAGAATATTTCCCTAAAGAATACACCTGTTCACAGCACCTCACAGAACATTCTCCAAAACTGACCACTTACAACACAAAGCAAGTCTCAACAGATACAAGAAAATGGAAATTACCCCCTGTACCCGTATCAGACCATCACAGATTAAAGCTGGATTTCAACAACAACAGAAACAACAAAAGGCCTGCAAACTCACAGACACCGAAAAACTCTCTCCTGAATGATTACTGTGTGAAAGGAGAAGAAAGAAATTAAGGATGTCCTATAATTAAATGACAATTGATACACAACATCCCCAAAGTCACAGAACATGATGAACGTGTCACCAAGAGGGAGGCTCATAGCACTAAGTGCTTTCATAACGAAACTAGAGAGAGCTCACGATAGCAAGTTAACAGCACACCCGAAAGCTCTAGAACGAAAAGAGTAAGCACACCCAGGAGGAGTGGATAGCAGGAAATAAGCAAATTGAGGCCTGAAACCAATAAAATAGAAATGAAGAGAACAATACAAAGAATCAATAAAACAGTGAGTTGGTTCTTTGAGAAAACCAAGATAGAAAAACCCTTATCCAAACTAAAAGACACACAGAGAGAATATCCAAATTAATAAAATCACAAACAAAAAGGGGGGACATAACAAAATCATTGGGTCATACTTCAAAAACCTGTATTTTACAAAATGGAACATCTAAAAGAAATGGGCAATTTCTTGATAGATACCATTTATCAAAGTTAAATCAAGATCAGATAAATAATTTAAATATAAACCTATAACCTTTAAAGGAATAGAAGCAGTCATTAAAAGTGTTTGAACAAAAGAAAGCTTAAGGCCAGGCAGCTTTAGTGCAGAATTCTACCAGACTTTCAAAGAGCTAATACCAATACTCCTCAAATTATACTACAGCATAGAAACAGAAGGAACATTGCCCAATTCATTTTATGAGACCACAATCACTCTGATACCCAAACCATACAAAGACTCAACTAAGAAAGAGAATTACAGACCAATTTCCCTCATGAACATTGATGCAAAAATACTCAATAAAATACTTACAAACCTAATCCAAGAATACATCAAAAAGATCATCCAACATGATTAAGTTAGCTTCATCCCAGAGATTTAGGGATAGTTCAACATGCAAAAATCTGCCAATGTAATCCACCATATAAACAAACCGAAAGGAAAAAAAAACACATGATCATCTCATTAGATACTGAAAAAGCCTCTGGCAAAATCTAACACCCTTTCAAAATAAAAGTATTGAGGAGACTAGGGACACAAGAAACATCCCTAAACATAATAAAGGCAGTTGACAGTAGGCCTATAGCCAGCATCAAATTAAAAGGAGAGAAACTCAAAGTGATTCCACTAAAATTGGGGACAAGACAAGGCTGCCTCTGTATTTATTATAGTGATCTATAGTATTTGACGTCTTAGCTAGAGCGATGACAGCTTAAGGAGATGAAGGGGATTCAAATTGGAAAGGAAGAAGTCAGAGTATCACTATTTGCAGATGATTATATATATATATATGCGACCCCAAAAATTCTACCAGGGAATTCCTACAGCTGATAAAAACCATTAGCAAAGTTTAACTTTGGATACAATATTAACTCAACAAAGCAAAACACAACACCCAGGAGGCCTCCTACATACAAATGACAAATGACGGGGAAGGAAATCGGGGAAACATCAACCTTCACAATAGCCACAAATAACGTAAAATATCTTGGGGGTAACTCTAACCAAGCAAGTAAAAGACCTTTATCACAAGAATTCAAGTCTTTGAAGAAGGAAATATAAGAATATCTTAGAAGACAGAAAGATCTCCCATGCTCATGGATCGATAGGATTGACATAGCAAAACTGACCATCTTACCAAGAGCTAATTACAGATTCAACGCAATCCCCATCAAAGTTCCAACACAATTCTTTACAAACCTCAAAAGAATAACACTCGACATCATATGGAAAAACAAAATCCCAGGATAGCTAAAACAATCCTGTACAATAAAAAACTACACAATAAAAGAACTTCCACCATCTCTGATTTAAAGCTGTTCTACGGAGCTGTAGACATAAAACCACGCGGTATTGGCATAAAAAACAGACACACAGACCAATGGTGTCGAACTGAAGACCCAGACATAAATCCACATACCTATGAACAGCTTAGTTTTTGACACAGAAGCCAGAAATACACAACGGGAAAATAAGAAAGCATCTTCAACAAATGGTTCTTATCTAAGTGGATGTCTGCATGTAAAAGAATGCAAATAGATCCGTATCTCTAATCCTGCACAAAACTCAAGTCCAAGGGGATCAAAGACCTCAGCATAAAACAAGATACACTGAATCTGATAGATGAAAAAGTGGGGAATAGCCCTGAATTCCTTGACACAGGAAACTATTTTCTGCACAGAACACTAAGATCAGCAGCTAACAAATGGGACCTCATGAAACGGAAAAACTTCCATAAGGCTAAGGACACTGTCCATATGACAAAATGGCAGCCTGCAGAACGGGAAAAGATTTCCACCAACTCCACATCTGACAGAGTGTTAATATCCAACATATATAAAGCACTCAAGAAACTAGACATCAACAAACTGATGTGGAATTCCCCTCTATATGCTGTGATTACCATTAATGAATAAAGAAACTGCTTTGGATCTATAGCAGGGCAGAATTTAGCTATGCGGGAGGGGGGGAGAACTAAACTGAATGCTGGGAGAAAGAGGGGGGGAGTCAGAGAGAAGCCATGTAGCCTCGCTGAAGACACTAGAACTTTAGCCGGTAAGCCACGTGGCAATACACAGATTAATAGAAATGAGTTAAATTAATAT